CCTGAATTTACTTTATAACATGGAAGACTTCAAGCTTATACAAAAATATAAGAATCTATTGATCTCTGCCTTGCCTTAGATTAAGGCTTAGGGTTATTTAGGGTCATGATCTCTAGATTGCTTTGGGAGTGAGTGAATGAGAGAATGGAAATGGTTGGTTCCAATCCTCACAGAGAATGATTACAAAACAATTTCTCCTCCCCAATTTATAGGCAGAAGTACATAAATACATGCTGGGATTCCTTCCCAGCAAATAAAACAGGTCATTTCTCAGTTTCATATGACTCAATCCCGGTCTATCTTGTTTTGAAGCCAGAACACACTCTTTGCTCTTTTGTCAACCCAATTTTCATGTGAATTTTTTTGTCATATTACAGTTGCTTTACCTTATTTCCATCAATTTACCTTGCATATATTGTTTGATTGCTTTATATTAGTTTTTGCCCTGTTCTTTGCTTTTTCTTGCTATTGCGAACTTTGTCAATTCTGTTTGTTGCCATTTCTTTATATTTAACAATGGCCACTCACTCTACAGAAATAAATCTTGTTAGGATCATGTTCCATTTTCAGTTGGACTTCTCCAGACGAATAATGGTTCCATTAATGAAACCAGTCTCTTATTAAAAAAAAAACAAAAAAAAACTTGATCTCATAAAACTTCTATTCCCATAAGAACAACAAAATAAAATCAAGAACAATTATCTGTTTCTACTTAACAGCAGCATTTTCTATGCCCAGGAATCATCATTGGCATACATCATTCTTTCCTGCACACTCAGCTTACCATTCTTTGAACACCAACTGTTCCAGTTATCTTAGGCACATGTCAACTGATTTGGCATATTCTTTGCCCATCAACAATTCTGAGTATTTACTGTACGTGTGTATCCACATTTCTGGTCAGTTTTCAACATATATCTATTTATCTCCTGTGTATACTATACTGATTTTGTTTAACATACCAATAGTTAAGATTTCCTTGTCAGTGGCACTATATAAACTTTTCTTTTTACAATTTATTTTTGCACATGACAAATGAACATTTCTCATGACTAGATTTCGAGTTCCCAACCACAGGGAGGCATGGTAGAGTAATGGATAGCGGCTCGGATTGAGGAATCGGAGAGCAGAATTTGAATTCCAGTCAAATCCATTACATTCATTTATGTGTTAATACCCTTGGGAAAGGTATGAATGGGTAAATAGCAGGACAGACTGGGTTCTATAGCCTTGGATGGCAACTGGTCTACCACGGAAAGGAATGGCAACCTACTGCAAGAAAATAATCTGCCTCATCAGTCATGTATCGAAAGATACATGATTGCCTAAGCGTGTATCATGTATGGCACATAACTGACTGAACCACAGCTTTTCATCTGATTTCTCCAGACCTCTTTAGCGTCTACCTTTCACATTTTCTTTCTTGGAATTGTATTTTGTATTGGCCAAGAATAAATTTTGCCATATTTATTTGAATTTCTCGTTTTTTGTTGTCCTTCCCTTTGACCTGTCAGATCATTGTGTTTATTAACTGTTAGCGGGCACCATTTAAATGAACCAACCCAGGCTTGTGTGTTCCACTACAATATTTAGAGATTTTTGATAAAATACAAAGAAGAATCTGCAATGTTATTGGTCCTGACTTGGCATCTCAGCTTCAGTCCCTTTCCCTTTATATTTGCTTTGAATATTGCTGCCACATCTGGACTGGTGCTCCTGTTGTGTACTTAGAGATTCTTGATAAAATACAAAGAAGAATCTGCAATGTTATTGGTCCTGGCTTGGCTATCAGCTTCAGTCCCTTTCACTTTATATTTGTTTGAATATTGTCCATATCTGGACTGGTGCTCCTGTTACAAGAGATTCTTGATAAAATACAAAGAAGAATCTACAATGTTATTGGTCCTGACCTGACATCTCAGCTTCAGATATATTCCTGCTGCCATAATATAGTTTGCCTGTGCCTTTTCTATAAATACATTCATAGTAACTGTTCTGATGAACTTTCCATTATGGTACCTAGACTTTATAAATTTAAGTGCAGTCCTAAATTGGCGGCAAGGTCTCATCATTTTATAGTTGAAATGGCTAAATGTAACTAAATTCTATGCTGACAGTTTCTTCTACTGTACTTATCACTTATGATACTGTCATCTGCTTCCAGGTTTTCCAGTGAACTTTGATCTTCAAAAATTTAAATGCAATATTAATTGTTATCTTGTCTTCTTAAATTTTGGTCTTATTTTCTTCTCTCTTTAATGGTGTTTCTCTCTCATTCTCTAACACTCAGTAACCTTTTACATCTTAGTGGTTTTATTGCCAAAGACAGAGGGAGGCCATGCTACATCAGTGAGAAAGTGAAGTTGAGATGTCAGGTCGGGATCAATTACATTGCAGACCTTCCTTTGAATTTTCTCAAGATTTTAATTATTAAATGCTGTACTGTTGGTAAAACATTTAAACAAGAAATGGAAAATTTCTGTGTATTCCAAAAATAAGTTTCTTCAATGTCTGCTGGCCTTGATGTCAAAGGTCAATTTTCAGACACACAAAATAAATTGAGATAAAGCACAGATGCTCATTAGACACAGTTCAAAGCTATGATGACTCAATGTTAAGTGCAGTTTTGGGGAAAGAAAGCTTGTGGTTTGACTCTTGCTGCTTGGAGTGTGCACTGCAAAACAAATGCTGGATGCTATTTTCAATGTTCTTTTATATTATCTTTTGACTAAATATAAAAATCCTCTCCAGAGGTCTTTTCATTAACAAAAACAGAAGCAAGTATAGGACAGTAGTAACTTGAAACAAATCTATATTAAAATCTAATAAACAGTTCCAATCTATCAGAATGACTGCTAAAAACTTCTCTCCTAATTTATAGACAATTTGTATAAATGCATGCTGGGGATTTCTTCCTAACCAATGAAACAAAGTTTTTGTCATAAAGTAAGAACATGATTACAATTAAACAAAAAATAATAGGAAAAAAGAACACAAGCCTATAAAAACTTTATTATATCCAAAGGTAAGAAAACAAAATAAAAATCAAGCAATTATTAAAATTGAGCAAAACAGAACAGTTACCATTAAAATTCAGTCAAAATTTTTCCTTTATATGATCTGTACAGCCTGTGTCTTGTAAACATCTTAGTGGAATAATTAGGATATAAAAATTCTGGTTATATTTATACCAATGCAACCGGAAATTATTGCAAGAAAAATATTAATGAAACAAATATATTTTACAAATATATAATTTGAATTTATTGCATACAATTTTAGTGAAAAAAAGTACTAATATTAAACGTGATGAAATTAATATAATGAATATTATCAATAACATTTTTAATCTGTATAATAGCCTTTTAAATAATGACAATAGGTATATAAAAGTTACTCTAAAGTCTAAGCTAAAAGGAGTTGCTAGGTTGGTAATTTCAGCTATCTTGAATTTTAAAGCTTCATATGGCATATAAGAGGCAGGGGAATTTTAAAAGATATTTTTAGTAAAAAAAAAGTGTTTTATATGCTGTCAAATATGATACTTCTTGGTCTCACCCACCATATTTTGTTCTTTGTCATGAAGTCAGAACACTACAATCACTTGACTGTATCCTTTTTGCATGTTAAAACCATTCTTACTTTGTGAAATGTTTACCTTATTACTTTTGCTTTGCCTAGTTTTGACTTGCATATTGTTTTTTAGTATTTTTTACCCTGTTATTTTTCTTTCTTTTCTTATTGTTTAGTGGAAACTTTGTCAATTCCGTTTGTTGAACATTTTTGTCAGTTACACTTAACCATGACCAATTACTCTACAATTTTAGGAAATGTTTGTTGGTTCCAATCTTGTTAAGAATGACTGCAAAAAAATCCACCAACCCAAATTTATAGACAATTTGTACAGATGCATGCTGGGAATTCCTCCTAGCCAATAAGATTTGTTCATTTCATGGAATTATCCACCATATTTTTGTTTTTTCATGTCTTGAAGTCATCTGTACTCTTTTTGTTTAACATTATTCTTACTTTGTGAACTTTTACCTTATTACCGTTGCTTTGCCTGTTTTTGTCTTTATATATATATATATATATATATATATATATATATATATATATATATATATTATATTATATATATATATATGTGTGTGTGTGTGTGTTTTCTTCTGTTTTTTGCCCTGTTCTTTTCTTTCTTTTGGTATTGTTTATTGGAAACTTTGTCAATTACTCTACAAAGCTTCTTTTGAACTAAAAGTTTAAAATGACAAAGTGTGGTCAATACAATTTCCCTATCATTTGCCAACATACTTTGTAACAGGTGGCATAGTGTTTAGCTTTGAAATCAATCATAGCAATAAAAATAATAGTTTCATTTTATACAGCTTTTCATTTCTTTTCTTCTTTTAGCGTTAATAGGATTTGTCTCAGCTTGGGAAAGAAAGTTAAAGAAACAAAAAACATACAAAAATTGTATCATTAATATCTGGGTGAGCACAAATGCAGTATTAAACTGCAAATTAGATTGAAAATTCTTTTATTAAGTTAGAGCATTTAAATGGTACTGTCCTCTGTTATATGATAGCAAATAAAAAAACATGCTATTCATTGATTTGAGAAAATATGTATTGAATTCTAATTAAATACAGAAGCTAACTCCCAAACTTCAAGCTTTTTATTCCTTTGTCCTACATCCATTTATCAAATATACAATCTGGACTGCTGGTGAAAAATGTAACCTGTTTTTTATGGCTTATCAACCCTTTGCAGGATATTTAAAGCCAGAAAATATTTAGATTTTAAGTCTTTTTTTAGATAATAATGGTTTAGTGATACAAATCTTACTAATTAACCCATAACTTGGGGGAAAGAGTTGGATTCATACATTTCCCAAGAGTATTTATGTGTAAGAGAATATAAGGAACCCAACTGGAATTGGAACTCAGCTCTACAATTAACAACTCCAAGCAATTATTCACTACACCACCTACACATCCAAGCTTACAGCACCTGGTATTTCAAAGTGGTCACCCATCTAGGTAATGCCCAGACTCGACATTGCTTAACTTCAATGATCATATGGGAACCAATGTTTCAACATAGTATGGCCCTAAGTCGAAATTAATGACTTTATTTTTAAAATTCTATGAGTGGTAAGGCGGCTCACCAATCTGGATAGAATCTGGGTTTCGTGCATCAGTCAAAAACAGTATTAAGAGTTTGTGTTAGTGAATGAACGAGCAATCATCAGTCATCCTGACGGGTAAAAGTGATGAAATCATTTAAAATAGAAGAAAGTCCTTGTGTGCAACCTGAATTCATTACTGCAAGAGAATTATGTTCCACATTAATTAATAACTGTAAGTAATGTGAAAGTGGTGGTGCGAGGATGTAAGTGGCTGAAGTAGCAGCAGCTGCAAATACCAAACTCGATTACTTGATGCTTTTGTGATTTAATTACATACACTGCAAAGTTCTTTGTTTGGTCCTGTTATTGTTCTTAGTTTAAATTCTTGAATAATGTGTATGTGTGCACATATCAATATAGATTCTGTGTGTGTGTGTGTGTGTGTGTGTGTGTGTGTGTGTGCATGAATGCATATCAACATAGAGGTGTTTGTGTATTGGATCAATATGTGTATATGTGTGCATGCACGTCACTGTAAGCATGTGTGTACATGTACAAATATGTGTCTGTACATGTATGTATAAGCGGATATGTGGGAAGTGTAATGATTGATTTTTTTTTTTTTTTTACAGTTCAACCTTTTGAAGGTTATTTAAAGCTAGAATATATTTTGAGATTGTAGAAATTTTTTTTTTTTTTGGATAATAATGATTTATTGCTGCAAGTCCTACTAATTAACCTATAGCTGGTGAGAGAGGAAGTGGATTCATACCTTTCCCAAGGGTACATGCACATAAGTGAATATAATGCACCCAACAGGAATTGGAACTCTTTCCAATTAACAATCACAAGCCATTATCCATTACACCATCTGCACATCCAAGCTTATAGAACCTGTTATTCTCAAGCAGTCACTCGTCCAGGTACTGACCAGGCACAATGTTGGTTAACTTCGGTGATCATATGAAAACCGCTGTTTCAACATGATATGGCTGTATGCCTATATCAAATTTACCTTTGTTTGTATGTACACGAGTGTCAGATATATGTATATATGTGCATGCATGTGTAAGCATATGTATGCGTATGTGTGTGTGCATATCTATATAGGCATGAATGTGTATGCACATGCATACATAGGTAGATGTGTGGGTGGTGTAAGAGACAGTGGCTTCAAATGAGAAATTGGAGTGCCAAGTTCAAATTCCACTTGTGTTTTTACATTCACCTGTGCACAGATACTCTTGGGAAAAGTATGAATCTATCCCCTTTCACTAACCATGGGTTAAATTCTAGGACTTGTATCTGTAAAAATCATTGTTATTCTGAAAAAAAAAAAAAAAAAAAAAAAAATTGCCAATATTCACTTGCAGAAAATAGTACTATTTCCACAATTCAAAATCTGATTTGGCTTTAAATAACACACAAAAGGGTTGATAAACAATGTGTGTGTGTGTGTGTGTGTGTGTATATATATATATATATATATATATATACACGAGTGAATGTATAGTAAAATAACTTGCACACAGCATTAATCATTCAATAAGCCTAGTTGAGCAGTAATGAATACAATTGTATTAATTCCAAGCCACTGACAATCCCTCCCACCCTGACTCGATTTTTTTTTTTTTAAAGTCAGTATCACTCCATGCAAGGCAGTAAGGCCACTGAAACAAAGCATTACAAGGTGTGGAAGAAATAGGAAGAGAAAAATTAATAATGAGTGAGAAGAGGAAAGAGTAATCAGGACAGTAGATAGTGATAGACATTGTATTTAAACTTTTGCAGATTAAAGTTGGCCAGAATGCATGAAGCTGGAAGGGAGTTCCACAAGAAAGAAATGTGAGAAGTGCAACTGTTAGCATAAAATTTACAGTTACATCTAGCGGCCAACTCAACTATAAATTGATGAGATCTTGACACCAGTCTATTACTGTGCTTAAATTCAAAAAGTCTACGTACCATAGTGAAGAGTTCATCTGAACAATTACCATGAATGTATAGAAAAGGCAGAGAGAGGAAACTTTATGGTGGTGAGAATGTGATTGAAGCCAAGCTGCCAGATCAGGACCAATAATATTGCTTATTCTTCTTTGGATTTTATCAAGGCGCTCAAGGTAAATAACAGGGGCACCAAACCATATGTGGCAGCGATATTCTAAGCATGGACGAATGGTAGACCTATAGATACCTGTATTTACATTCTATGCATAACTTTAATCTCTGAGTATGTCCTGAATTAATTCCTGACCATTGATAATACTTTTCTCTCTAGTTTTGAATGCATTTCAATCATTCACTATTTATTTAGATTAGGTAAACTCACTTTATGACTATTGCAGGTGGCCTTTAGTTTCTGTGTTAAATCTCTTCCTTTGTATAGACTTTATATTATAATTATTTGAAAACAGATAAAGGGAGACTCTGTAATTAGGCAAACTTCAACTACCTTTAAAATTTACTTGTATTTCTACTAATCCCTAATCAGCAGGAGTTTTATGTTAATTGTACAAACATGCTTACAAGGCTTAATTATAGCATGATGGATTCTTCAATCAATTGTTTTATAGAAAATATAAGCATGCACACAATATAAAAAGAAAACAGCTTAGCAAGGTTTCTGGAATAAAGTGTGAGAATATTCATGAAGAGAAAAGGAAATTAAAATATTAATCATTTTTATGGGAAATAATAATCCTAAAACAATATATTCATATTGCAAAAAGAATTATATACCAAAACATGCAATAAATTTTTTTTTTACAAAATAAGAGCATCTTTATTTCACAGGTATCATTATTTTAGGCAACAATGAGCAATCTTTACACAGTTTTTCCTCTTTCAATGTTGATATGGATTTTCTTTTTAAATTATGATTATCAGGGTGAGTGTGGATACAGACCCCACACTATTAGTAATCTCTCTATTTTTTTTACATTGTTAACATGGATTTAGTCTTTAGCTTTTGTAAGGAACATAAAAAAAGATAGGAGCATTATTAGGTTGAGTGTTCATGCAGATACCACATTATTAGTAATCTTTTCATTTCTTTTCATCTTTTAATGATAATATAGATTTTCTCTTTAGCTTTTGTAACAAGTATGAGGATGTGCTTGCAATATAGAAAAATTGATTTTTGGAATAAAGTGTGGAAATATCATGATGAAAGAGAAAAAGAAATAAAAATGGGGGCAAAAAATAGGATTGAAATGCAAGAACCCAAAATAAAAAAAAATCTTAGGACAGCCTAAATTTAATATGCCACAAAAAAAAAAAAAAAAAAAAAAAAAAAAAAAATCCCCCTGTTTGGTAGAAAATTCATTATAAATGCTGGAACCTGGACACACTGCACCAATGTTACAGTGAGCAACTAGCTTGTTTGAATATCACATTGAATGGATCTTTTTCTTGGCAAGGAAGTTGATCAGTGATTTTGCAGCATGAAAACAAATTCCTCCCACCCATTGTGTTGCAAATCTATCTAATCGTCCTCAAACATATGACACTGCAAATAAGATATGGCAAAGGATCACAAAGCTGGCTGGGGAAGTTCTGAATGTGTCAGCAAATATGTCCCCATCAGACAATCTCTTGTCTTGTCCCATACAATGCTTTCTGTCTGGTCAGCAGTTCCAACAAGGTCAAGAATTTATCAAATCAAAGCTGAAATTGCTGTTTATGATGGAACACATAATTTAGCAGAAAAGTGCCCTCAATGTCACAGAAAACCAGTTTGATGGCTGAATAATGATACTATGAATTTAAAAAGGGGGGAGCTTTTACCTGTAAATGCTGAAGACTTTTGCATCAACCTGACATGTTTAATAAGCATATGGGCTGAAGTTTTATGGAGCAGAGCAAAAATAATAATTGGTGGAAAATTTTCCGAGTTACCCAGAAAATAACCAGCTTTTGCCTTGAAAATATACAATTGGTTTGCTATGGAGTGGGGGAGCTGCTACCCCCAAATCCCACCTGCCTCTTAACACCTATGACCTAAAAAAAAATCATTACCATGGCAATCTAAGGAAAAATCATTACAAGCAAGCTACTTTGAATTATAAATATTCATTCTTTCCTTTGGATATACACAATTTATTTTTCTCATTATTATTTACATAAAGACTATTGTCCTCATCTTTGCTGTTGTTATCGCAACGTTTCAGTTGCTGTTCCCTCTGGCCTTCAGCAGGTATATATTGATCTGAATAATTTACAGAGAATTTGAAACTGAACTCTCAGTATATTGGGGCATTTTGCTGCTCGTGTTTAGGGATATCTCATCTAGTTCTTACTTTTGGTACTGCTCACCCCATTCCCACTGAGTCTAAGTACCATTCCATTTACTATCATGGTCTCATTCATTGAGTACTAGTAAACAGTAGTCTACTTGATACCTCACTTTAATATATAAAACCCACAAATATTTTTTTTTTTTAATGAAGGTCTTCTATGAAGAACTTGGAGCCCTAAACCTAACTGCTCATGAGTGCTGCTGCTGTTTGTCATGCTTGACTGGACTCACTGAAGCTTTCTCTTCTGTTAAAGCTGCTGCTGCTCTTGAAAACCTGCTGTCATTTAACTTACTTTATTAAAAGAAACAAAAATGAGGACAACAGTCCACATGTAAATAGTGTAAATAATAATAATTCAATCACCATAGCTACTTTCATTTTCTAATGTCAAATCAAATTTTGCATTTTATTCTAACATCCCCCCGTGTACAAATCTCCTAACATTCCCCCCATGTACAAATCTCCTAACATCCACCCCCCCATGTACAAATCTAAGTTGTTTACCATTATTTATTTTAAAATTTTATTAACCGTTAATTTTTTTAAATTAACCACAGTATTTTTAAGGTATTAAGGTTGCCATAGTAACAATTTTTCCTGAGATTTTTCAATTATTCTGGGACAGAGCAAAACATCAACAGAATAAAAATTTTTTAAACATACAATTGGTTTTCCTGAATTCTATCTGACATATATATCTTCTTATATATAATTCTATAAATTACTTTTTTGTCTGTCATACGATAACTCAAAACAAATCTTGAATAACAATCACTATTGTTTACTAATGAGACCTTTTGAGCCATCTTTCCTAATTTTAGTTTTTGAAAATTTCCAAGCTCATTTTCTTTTAGTGAGTGTTCAATTTATAAGGTACTAAATACTAAACTGGACCATTTCTATTTGGTCATCAAGGTTAGTGAAACCAGACAAGTGGAAATTTCCATGCCAGAAACCAAAATTATAATTTGTTTTTACCAATGAAAAATAGTGTTGTGCTTACATTTGTAATACATGGAATGGCCACCAGGTGGCTATAAACATTAACCTTAAAACCATGTTTAACTTCATTATATCCTCACAAAAACAATTCAATATTATACCTGTGTTTATTGCTACAATAAAAATCCAGTAAAAAATATTTGGTTAATTGAAGTGTTTCTTTGAAATATACCCCCCACCAAAAAAAAAAAAATATTTAAGTTAAATGTAATCCAAGAGTTTATGGTGGTGATGATTTTTTCACCAACATGACTTGGCTTCCTTCCATCTTTTCTGTAAATATTTTCACAGCAAATGTTCTAAGCTTTTTCCTTAGTACCTCGACTATATGAATTTAAGCATGCTACTAGAATGGCAATTAGGTCTCATCGTTTTACTGTTGGACTAGCTAAATGCAACCAACTGTTCTATTCTAATATTTTCTTTTCTTGCACTACTTGGCTGTGGAACTCACTTCCAATTTCTTGCTTTGCTGCCACCTACACCTAAATGATTAAAAAAAAAAAAAAAAAAAAAAAATGGTTTAATAAATTAAAATCTATGATTACTTATTGGAAAGCCTAAATTGAGATCTACATGAACTAGCTTAACAATCCTAACCACATGACAGGTTTTCAGTTAGTCTTTTGTGAAAAACCATCCAGATATTTACTTGTGATTAAAGAGTCCATGATAGTGAACATTTTCAAATGTGGAATCCAGTAAGTACATAGTTTAAATCCAGAATCTCTTATTGGGACCAAATGTTTTATTTTGTCTTTCTGCGGGAACTACACTAAAATCTCACATTTAGAGAAAGTTTTCAACAAATCTTAATATTTACATTGTTTGAACAGTTGTCTCCATCTTCATTCATGTTTCATATGTTGTACATTCTGGCCTTCTTCAGGCAATATTTGAATTTTGAACCAAACCCAGAATAGTCACTTGACAAAATCTAAACATTTTAACCACAATTTTATGCATTCAACTACAGATAAAATGTATTGTCTGTCATTTTACTATAAATAAGTATTGTTGGTAAATTTTTAAATAGAGAAATGCATTGCTGGTATTTTTACTATAAAAATATATTTTTATACTTTCATAGTGTTTAGTTTTTGTTTTGGGGATTCATTATTTGTCCATAGTTGAGATTGTAACAAGTGCTATCACTCTGGGCCAGTGTGGACCTGGAAACAACAGCAATTAAGAGATGGTTCTGCACTCCTCAAAACCTCCAATCTCTATATTACAGGCCTTGTTGTGGGATGTAGTTTATCATCATATCCAGGACTAAACTATTGTAGTGATATCATGATCAGGAGAAATAAATAAAAAAGAAAAACTTAATTCCCAGGATTCCATAGAAAAAACGAAACCGCCCTACTGGCTGGAAATTTAGAGACTCTTTTTCATCGGCCTCTCACAAAAAAGGACACATGGATCTGAGTGGCTCCAGAAACGAAGACTACAGATAAGTTTTATACAAATATCTCTTTCTCATGTTTAATATTACCTTTTAAATGAGACTTATCACTTGCAAATAATTTATTCATTCCTAATGACAAACATAAGAATCAGAAACATTTACTGACAATCACATTACAAGAATTTTCATGCATCTACTGAACAAATCCTTCTGATAATAAACCCTTCTACATATAAATGTTTTTGCTGTTATGATGTACAGACGTCACATTTGTTAAGATGTACAGACGTCACATTTGTTAAGATGTACAGACGTCACATTTGTTATGATGTACAGACGTCACATTTGTTATGATGTACAGACGTCACATTTGTTATGATGTACAGACGTCACATTTGTTATGATGCATAAATGTTGTTATGATGCATAGATATCTACTAAGCAGAAAGAGGAGTCAAACAAGATCTATCATAACCTTATAAAATCAGGCTGAGGAGGACCAAAAACCCAAGCCAGCTGAAGTTCTACCTGGAGAGGCTAAAGGATCTCAATGCCATTGAAGAATTCAAAGGAACAATTGGGAGGGAAGTTAGCTCGACTGTTGACAACAAAGTGGAAATTCTGACAGATCAATTCAATGGCATAATGAATGAGGCAGTGAAGGACATCGTCAGGAAGATGCATAGAAAAACCTAGCCATTAAATTCTTTAGGTATGTGACATGAGATGAGACAAAGAAGAAAAGTATATTCCTATAAGAACTGCAGTAGACAAAGAAATCAGCAAAAAATCAGGAAGAAAATCTCTTGTTTTGTTTTTGTTTTTTTAATGATGTTCACTCTGTTCAAGGCCCAAAAGCCACTCAAGGTAGAAAGTTAAAGAGTAAGAGACACGGTTTATAGGGATCTGTGGGGAAGATAACAGTTGACCCTACAGGTTAAAATCGTAGTGATTGTGGAAGCATCCACTTGGGAGCCAGTTCCACAAAACAGTGGTTTATAGGAAGAAGCTGCTCAAGTGGTACTTACATCTCATCAATAGAATATGAAGGGATGTTTTGCTACAATGTGCATAACATGCTAGGTCTTAGCCATGAAGGTTAGAACTCGTGGAACTAAAAAATGTAGTTTGTCTGAACACATTCCATGGAAACAGCAACAGAGCAGTGAAAGGCTTGCAATGTTTCAAGTACTGCGCTCATGGTTTTGGGCGAGACGGACATGCTTACACGTTTTAGTAAATGTGCTTGTTTAGAGTTATGATTGGCTCGGGTTTAGAGATTTTTTTTTTTTTTTTTTTACAACAATGGTAAGCCTGTACAATGCCCAAGAGCCACTCGATATAGAGGGTTACAGAAGAAGAGGGGAAGATAATGATTAACCCTAGACTTGAACAGGTTAAAATTGTAGCAATCATGGAAGCATCCTCTTTGGAGTTGGTTCCACAAAGCAGTTAGTGAAGGAATGTGTGTATATAAAAAAAAAAAAAAAAAAAAAAAAAGAAAAGAAAAGAAAAAAAAAAAAAAAAAAAAAAGAAAAGAAGAAAAGAAAAAAAAAGAAAAGGACTATAAACATCAATTGCAAGAAGAAAGTATACTCAGTTGTTGGCAAAACGAACAGTCCAACATGCAAATTAAAAATTGGAGATACCAGGATCAAACAAGCACAACAATTTAAATATCTGGGAAGTGTTTTAACTGAGGATAGAAAGTGTGACACTGAAATCTGAAGGTGCATCGGGATAATGAAATATACCTTCTAACATCTAAGCAAAGTATTAAGAAACAGGAAAATTTTGTTAAAAAACAAAAGAAAATAGTACTGAACTTTTATGGAAAATCAGTTCTCCTATATAGCAGTGAATGCTGAACAATCTCCTCACAAATGAAGAGACTTTAAGCAACAAAAATGTGGTTCTACATGGACGGAACAGGACAAAGTTTTGTAGAAAATGGACATGAAAAGGACTTGTATACTTAACACCAGAAAGAGTTGAAATTTCTAAGGTACATAATGAGGAAAGAGAGCTTGGAAAATTTGATACTCACAGTGCATAACCTACCTAACAAGCTTGAGTAAATAGATGGCAGAGCAAGGTTTAGGATAGATAACAAAAAGACCAAATTTATTAAGAGCTACAAAAGATAGGAAATTGTGGAGAGCCATGATCATCAATGTCCTGAAGGGATGCAGCACATAAAAGAAGAATATGGTTAAAAACAGACAGATTAGAAAGTAATAACTAAGCAACACTAAAAAGACACTGAACCATCATGAGATAACTTTCAACATGGACAGAAATGGAAATAAAATAATAATAATAATAAGTTCAATTTGAAATTCCCTGAAGTTTGTCTGGCCAAAATATTGATTCTATTTGATTGATTTGTTTTTTTACAGCTTATAAACCTTTTGCAAGTTATAAAAAGCCAGAAAATAATTTAATTTCTCTTTTTTGTAATGATAATGACTTACTGATACAAGTCCTACTAATTAACCCATTGCTGGAGGAAGGAGAGATGGATTCATACCTTTTCCCAAGGGTATTTTTGTATAAGTGAATATAACAAACCTGACTGTAATTAGAACTCGGCGCTCTGATTTCGAGCCATTATGAATAACACCACCCTCACATCCAGGTTTACAACATATGGTATTCCCAACCCAAACAACTACCCATCTAGGTACTGACCAGGCTTGATATTGCTTAACTTCAGTGATTGTTCTTACTACCAACATTTTGTATGCAAAGATAAGCATGTTAGTCAAATTATAAATAAAGAAAAAAAACAAATCAATAAAGACAACCTTAACAAAAAAATGAATTATTAGTTTAGTTAAAAACAGAACAAATGTTCTTTAAGGAGTTTTTTGTTAATTTTTCAGACCACTTTCATGGCTTCTGGTGAAAATTTCAATATAAATGTCTGAGTATTTTTGGCTCTCAAAGACTTTTTGTTTTGCGCTATATCACTATATCAACTTTCCTCAAATGTTGCAATTCCCCAATTATTTTTTGTTTATAAAATACATTTAGTATATTTGTTCCTAAGTTTGATAACATTTTATCCTGTTTACGTTTTATATTTACTGCTTGTAGTATTTTATGTTCAAGATATGACATATGAAATATATTTAGTACTAGCTTAAAAGCCACCCTATCAGGCAGCATTTAAACTAGCTCCTGATTTGGCTTTCATCACAATAGGTAGGGAGGAGTAGATGCGGTAGGCAACAATAAACTTCAGTAGAACTCAAAATTGATTGCTGCATTTAAGTATTTCATTAATATTTAAGCTTACCTTTTAGAAGTTCAACAATAATTCTTCTGCTGCCACTTAATTTAAAGACAATTTGATGTATGTAGGTCTTTACTTTCCGTACAAACAATTATTTTTATTTCATGGGTGACTTTCATTAGATTGTGCAATTTTTATTATTTCCAAATTTATCTCCAAGTTATAAAAATTGTTATTGTACCAATAAATTCGTCACACAAAAAAAAAAAAAAAAAACTGAAAACAATCGCAGTAATGAAAACTTAGGAATCCAAAATTTCAAGATTGCAGGTCCAGATCTGGCCTAGTGTGACAGTGACACACTGACATTCACACTTATTATGTAGATATTTGTTCTTAAGTTTGATGTAATTTTACTGATGTTGGGCTTATTTTTTATAATTAATACCTTTAGTATTTTATGTTCAAGACAATATACTGTGATATACGAAATATTGTAACATTGACGCTATGACGTGGGGCCAAAAAAGGCCACCTGGATTGTCTCACCCCTACGAATTGAAACAATGCACCAAGAGTTTACTTTTTTTTTAACTATTGAAAATCTGGCATGTGGGTAGATTTTATCATAATCCTTTCATATCCAAATATTTTTCCATATATTACAATTAAATAAGTCAAGAAATGCACTGTAACAGTGAGAATCACTTTTATTTCCCAAATACTTTCCATCTCTTTCTGAGATCATCATCAGGGGTGCAACTGGTAAGACTAAAACTATGTGTAGTTATCTATTACTGATTTTTTATTTTGTGTTTGACATTCCAACATAAAAAAAAAAATTTCCATAATAGATAACATTTCATGTTCTAATGAATGCTGAAGCATAACTGTAACCCATAGCATTTAAAAGCAAAAGAAAAAAGTCAGTAATAATTCTCAAGAAGGTGTAATATTCTGTAGATATGAAACAATTACTTACCTTCAGTCACATTAGATGTTACAGGCATAAGAGCTTGTCGAATGGCCTGTTCCCAATGATGAGCCTGTTCAAGTCCAACTCCACTCTCTGGTGATGAAACAACATTGTCACCGTTATCTTTGCCATATGTACTATCCTCACCCACAAAGTAAACCATATTTGGTAAACGGATTTCAAATACATGCGGCTGGAGCTTGGCAGAAGTATTTATCTTATCTGACTTGACAGGTTCAACAGACAATATTTTATCAAGTTGAATTTCCTACAAGAAAAGTAATAAAGTCAACAAACACTGAACAATAAATTCTGTTAATTGCCTCCTCCATTAACCCTTTGAGCCCTGACCACTGCTTTACCAGTGGTAGAGAAAAATGACCTTATGCCCAGTCACCGGTTGAACAGTGGTAGAGAAAAATGACTTAATGCTCTGCTACAGGTTAATGGTGGGTAAACACTTGTAACAATTTTTGTATCTACTGTGAAACATTACACACTAATTATTTGCGAATTTTGGGTTAAAATTGTTCAGGAACAGAAGGCTCAAAGGTTTAAGAACAAAGAAAAATAATTGAAGATTTAGGTAAAACTAAAATGTCTTATTATAGGAAAATATATTTCAAGCATTTTCAAAAGCATATGATATATATATTTAATCATTTCGCCCCAAGCAAGGCCATAAAGTGACAAGGAGGGCAACTGAGTATAAGAGAATGATAAAATTTATTAAAGAGACAGAACAATGAAAGTTTGGTTTGTTTTATCAGAATATCAACCCTCTTCTATCATTTAATGTGAATAATAATAAAAAAACAGGGATTAAGGAGATAGAAGATAACATTTGATATTGCATTTAAGGGTTACTGAGTGTGAAAGAATATAAGAAAAAAGAAAACATTTTCAAGGAGTGAACAATAAAAGAACAAAAATTAAGACAGAAGATAATAACTGACATTGCATTTAAATTTTTGAAGATCAAAGGGAAACAAGAATTAAAGAGATAAGTCATTGCTTACCTTGAAATACCTTGTGGTTGTTTCATTCTGGTAGAGTGTAATAGATTTTGTATCCAGCCTCCAATAATGCCTCTTTCG